GGCTTAGGCGTGAGAGGCTTCTGCTTCGTCGCCATTAGATCTCAAATCTCGACGATCGAAGGGATAATAATTTCTGACCTAATTTTAACAAAAAAAGAAAAAAAGAATATTCCAACCCTCGAAAGGAGCCGACGACAAAAGGGCACGGGCTCCTTCCGAGAGATCGGATTTGGGAAGAAAAGAATGGGGCGATTAAAATATTATTTATTGTTTTCTATTGTGGCGGATAAAATAGGCGCCTTTCCAAAAAAAAAAAAAAAAAAATTTGGTGGGGTTTTAATTTAATATTTTGTTTGTTACCGTGGAAGCCCCTCAGCTGTAGAAATTTCATCCGCAGCGGTTGGATAATGGGATTTTTTTGAGGCGTTGGCTTATTTACGAAATCACCCACGCATGTGGTTGATGATGGAAGCCTTTCGTGAATACTGATCGTTGGATTAAGATCCAACGGCTGGCGTCCCACCTTCGAGGGGGAGTTCCCGCGTGGAGAATGTTCGGATGAGCGTATTCGGCCGAGCCAGCGCGTGTCAGGGTTGGTGTCATAAAAAGGGCCGAGGGTGTTTTTTTTTTGTTTTGTTTTGTCATGTCAGACCCTCGGAGCTTCGTGAATTGTTTATTAGACCCCGAATCTTTATATGTCTCCGGTCTAGGGGTGCCAAACCGTATCCGTATCCGAGGAAATATCCGTAACCGTTACCGTTAGGATACGAATATGGTTACTTAAATCTATAACCGATAGGATATGGTAACGGATATGTTTTTTTAGTGAAATATCTGTATCCGTATCCGAAAATATCCGAATACATATTGGTCATACTCTTACGATAGTTTCGATTCTTAGATTATGAATTTGTGGTTAATTTTGATGATCAAGATGTCTAATCTTAGCTTTTCAATCATAATGAACATATTAACGAACTCTTTTTGTATCATATGACTATATTTTTTCTGAATACTATCTAGTTTTCTCATATCTTTTTTGTATCCGCATGCATACCCGTTTATATATCCGCATCTATATCCGTAACCGTATCCGATTTTGGCGGATATGGATATGTATTTTTCTTACCGACGTATATCCGTATCCGTATCCGAGATGTGTAAGCGGATATGGATATGGTAAGTGCCATATCCGAGCCGTATCCGCTCCGTTAACACCCCTACTCCGGTCCCTAAACCTTGTTTATCCTCTTACCACCTCTGAATTTATACCTTGTGGGCGTTTTCATTAAAATCTTGACGAGAAAGTGGAGTTTAGAGGGCAACGTGGGACGAAAAATAGGTTAGGAGATAAGTAGGAAACAAATTTAATAGAGTGTTGTGTAAGCATTAAAATAGTCTAGGATGTTAAAGGGACATATCTAATAATAGTTTAGGAGGCAAGTAGGGACAGGGAGCCTGTTTCTACACTACAAATAGGCTAAATAATCAAAAAGCCCCCCTTAACGTTAGATAATTATTAGATAACTACTATAATTTTTAAAATATCAGAAACCTCGCTTAAGTTTAGGGGTTATCACAAAACCCCCTTTGAGTTTAGATATTTATTAGAAAAGATTTTAGAGGTGTGAACCACATTTTCCGCTAGAAATTTATTCCCTTACGTAATTTTACCCACCCGCGCGCGTGAAAAACTATGATTAAACACTATAAGAGGAAATTTTTTTAATAACTCCTAAAGTTAGAGGAATTTTCTAATATCTTAAAAGTTACGGTTTTTTTTTTATATTTATCCTTATAAATAACAATCTTCATGTTTTTAATTTACACCCCAGATCCATGTCATAGTTGTAAAACCCTCCTACTTTTAGAAAGATTTGAAGGTCTAATATAAAGAAACAAAGATTTAGAGGTCTAATCTAACATAACAAAAAGTATGAAAAAGGCAAATGCTTCCATTCTCGCTCCAGTTGCGTCGGAATTTGTATGCATGATAAAAGGACCAATCTTCATGTTTTGCTTCAGGTAGTCAGAAGTAATACCTCAATTAACTTTTAAATCTCAAAAACTATTATTAATTGTATCCAAAGGACACCATGTCGAAGCAAAACAAAAAACTAAAGTATTTATACAAATCCTTCTCAAGGAGATCACGTCAAAGCAAAGCTGAAGGTAAATTAAGAAAGGTATATTACAAGTCCAATATAAATCTTGGGGACATTAATTGTACGAAAACCTATTTAAAGTATTAACTGCGAAGCTTTACATTAAGAAAAATATCTCACGGACCCGAATATGGGACAGATAGAGGAGGTCAGGTGAGGTGTCCCCCTCTGATTGCATATTGAGCTAGTCATGACCAGCTCATTATGCAATTAAGAGGGGACATGTGAGGTGTCCCCCCGCTATCTGTCCCATTGTTGGGTCCCTGTAGAAGCACGCTAACATTAATGCATGCTGAGCTGATTTTGATAATCCTTTAATTTGTAATCCTAAATTTTGTCCTGCATGATAATTAACGATGCCCATGTGATCCGACCATAGAAACTACATAAAAAAATCAGCATTAATTTGTCTTCGCTGCGCGGCTCGTTAACCGAACTTAATTGAGAGACCGTATCATACTCATGACTCGTGAAGCTGGCCATGTTAGGGTCCATACTTTTCTTTCAAATTTTTTTTTTTCCTTTCAATTTTTACCCATTTGATTATATATAGTGATTTGCTGTGCAAAAGCTGAAGCCGACAGGCACGTGGGAATGATTGAAGCACGCTCCAGCGCACAGCTTACCGAAGATCATGACTTCACCCTCTGGGTAAATTTCACAAAAAAAGACCCTTGACTTTGGGGGTTTCCACAAAACCTTGAAAGCTTTGTGAAAGAGAAAACGGGAGTTTCGGGGACTTGGTTTCATGCGGAAAAGCCTAAAAGTCCCGGGGGGGTTTTCGTGAAATCTACCCCTACCCCCTTTTTCGTTATAACTCTTCATAAAGCTAAGGCATCTTCGACGCCCACAAGCCCAAAAAAAAAAAAGCTTACAGCCCACTTACTCACTGTCCTCGTGGTACCTAAAAAGCTTTGCATGGGGGAGGGCAAGCCATTAAACACCGTCACGTGACGGGTTTTTTCATGTGGGCTCGCTTTTGGTGTGGTTGCGTGCGATAATGGCGTTGTGCTGAGCTGGACTTTTTAGAAGGGGAAGCAATTAATCCTACGTATGATTTCCTGTACAGAACTCTCTACGCGATACTTCTCCTTGAAAAGAGGAAGGCGAAATACCCCAGAGGCAGAGGCAGCGGCGAATGCAGAAGTTCATAATAATATTATAAAAAGTCGGTTTTATTAATTTTTCTCGTATTTAGTATAAATTACTTCAAAGCCTCAAATTTTAATTTTCAATGTGCTCCGGTACCTCTAACTTTCAACAATGTGTTGTAGCCCCATTTAAAAAAAAAAAATTATGCTCAGGCCCCTCTCCCCAAGTTCCAATGCAAACTCCATCCAAAATCTCGATTTTACCCTCCTCCTCCTTCGGTCCTCCTCTACCTCCCTCATCCCTCCCCCGCTCCCGTCGTCGGCGCCGTCCAGAGGAACTTCCTGTGGGCGGCGACGGTCATGGTTATCATGTTAACATGTTAACTCTTACAGATAACATGTTAATTATTAATAGTTAACATGTTATATGTAAGAATTAACATGTTAACTATAAGAGTTAACATGTTAACTGCAAGAGTTAGTATCCGCTGACATGAGAAAGATGAGAGTAGATTTGGGATTTAAGCCAGCTGACATGTCTAATCATCCGCTGACATGAGCTGGAATCATGATGGAGGGGCCTAGACATAATTTTTTCAAAACGAAGGGGCTGCAGTACGTTAAAAAAAATATGGAGGGCTATGACACATTGAAAGTTGGAATTTGGGGCATTGACACAATTTTCCCTTAATATGATTGAGAGCTTAACAAAATACAAAAGATATTTAACTAAATACAAACAATACATATCCTATGTGTCATCATCTTCGAAATCTTTGCATAATAGTCTCATTTGAAATAGCACTAAAAATACATTGTTTTACGGTGTAAATTTATTGGTCTTTCCCCCCTAAAATAAAATAAAATATTGATGGTAACCCTTTAATATTGTAGGGGTGAATTAATGGAGCCATTTAAGTTAAGGGGGGCATTGAATCACTTTATCTCTAGGATTGGGCTGCTAGTATTTAGTGGGTCAATTCTCATTACTAGTCACTACTCAAATAATTGAGAGGGTGTCATTTTTCCTCACAAGGTCACCTACACTTCTTTAATGATATTAATTAATTGGCTTAGGGTGGTGTCCCTTTAATACGCTAGCTCTGCCCCCTGCCTATAAGGCTTCGTATACAGGATCATCATCATCGTCATATAGGAAAAGAAGAATAAAAAAATATGAATACGCATTGAGCATCATCATCATATAATAAAAATCATTATAAACAGTTAAAATATTATAGTCTGGTTACCGAAGAGTACAAAGTATCCAGTAAAGACGGATATATTGTGTCGTATAGATATAAGTGTAAGATCTACATCATAAACTTGAGATCTAAAACCATATAGCCATAATTAATTCAAAGAGATTAACAAGGATCTAAAAGAGCGGAAGCTTATACCTGAATCCATTGCTTGATCTTGATTTTGGGTGTTGGATCTTCTAACCTTAGGGTTCTCTCTAAAACCGAATTTCTCTAGCTAGATGGGGGTGTAGAGAATTAGAGAATGTAACCCTAGGTTAGGGACCATAACCCCTTATTTATAGATGTTGTACTTTTGTAATTTAGCCCCTCAATAAATTACAATTACAACCTGGTATCTGCACATATAACCCCATGACTTATTTAAATACCAAATTAACCCAACTTAATTGATCACTTTAGTGGGTTATCCTGAAAGATAGCAATACACATTGATTAATCATATGTGCCCACAAATAGATTTATTAGATTAAATCCAACAATCTCCCACTTGGGCACCATATGATTCCTTAAACTGTGTAT